TGCCTCCCCTCGTCTCCATGCCCCCCCCGCCTCCATGCCTCCCCTCTTTCTGTTCCCATCTTAGTTACGTGTGTCCTGCAAAAGGTCCATTGAGACCAATAGGGCTTTCACTCTGTGACCAGATATAAGTGAGAATTTTAAAAGACATTCCTCACTTTTTCAACCTGTGCTTTGAATCTTCAGCCAGAAATAAGGCTCTATTATATTTACCATTACGTAGACTACAAAGTGTGTTCACACATTGCCTATTCTTTGCTGTGGAATTAGATGGTAAGGAAGACTGTTGGTGATGAATTGTTTACATTCATATCAAGTTGTTTTCTTGCATGTGTAACAATTCTTGCTAGCCTGAGTTTGATATGGCTAGGAATAATGTCGTAATAAAAGCAAAATAGCAACAGAATTTTTCAGGGCCAATGGATACATGAATTAGAGTGGAATCTCTAGATAATGGAAATAATAGAAAACAATTGTTTGCAATGACAAGCATTCCTCGGAGATGCTGTGGGTTCACTTCCAGACCACTGCGATGAAGTGAATATTGCAATAAAGTGAGTCAAATGAATTTTTTGGCTTTCCAGTGCGTATGTGTTTACACTATATTTTAGTCTATTAAGTATAGCCTAGAATCATGTCTAAAAATGCAGTGTGTATACTTTAATTAAAAAATACTTATTGACGCGGTGACTGGATGGCTCAGTCGGTTGAGCATCTGACTCTTGATCTCAGCTCGGGTCTCAATATCAGGATTGTGAGATGAGGCCCATGTTGGGCTCCATGCAGGGCATGGAGCCTACTTAAAAAAAATTATATATATATATGTTATACATATATAACATATATATATATAGCTAAAATATGCTAGCCATCATCTGAGCTTTCCATGACTTATAAACAGAGATCACAGATCACCATAACAAACAAAATAATGAAAACATTTGAAATGCTGTGAGAATTTTAAAATGTGACACAGAGACGAAGTGAGCAAATGCTGTTGGAAAAATGGTGCTGATAAACTCGTTTGAAGCAGGATTGCTGCAAACCTTCACTTTGTAAAAAATGCAGTATCTGCAAAGCACATTAAAGCAAAGCTCAATAAAACAAGGTATGTCTGCAATGTTAAAATAATTTTCTCCCAAGTGCCTCTGTATACGAGGCATTCAGGGAGATAGTGAGGATGATGACATGGCCTTTGTCCCAATTTCTTGTTCCTGTCTGGTGGGTTTTCCTTATTGTGTAACTTGTAAACCTTCTAGGTATGCCACCCCCCTGAGCTGATGCTCTTAGTCTTACATGGGCCTACAGAGCATGTCCAGGGAAGGCTTTGACTGTGTACCATGGGCACAAAGTAGATAGAGGGGAGATTGTCATCATTCTTAATTATATTCTTAATATGTGGTGTCCTCACAAGAAGTTAAAATAACTCAATAAGTTAAAACCACTATGGAACTGAAGTTTGGTGACTACTGTGAACACGAAACAGTGGAATATGTAAAGAAGATCAAAGGGTGATTTTCTAAATTCCACACTTGCCCAACCCAGTGGCAGGCACAGGTCAGGCCTCCCAGCTCAGCTTTTCCCCAGGCCTGCTCTCTTAGGTGTTTCATATGGACTGCACCATTTTTCCATCTAGTTTGGCCAACGGAGCTGATCTCCTAACTCAGTGACTCTTTGCAAGCCATTTTCTCCACGATATTTCTAAGATGAGTAAATGTAGTTTTATGTATGCCAAAGGATAGCAAGATATTTTCCTCTGCAAAGATTTACCTGTCCTCAATATAAAGTGAAAACCATCACATGCACTCAAAATACGGGTTATTTATTAAGAATTGAGGGGCGCCTGGGTGGCTCAGTCAGTTAAGCATCTGACTCTTGGTTTCCGGTCAGGTCATGATCTCGCTGTGGTGAGACCGAGCCCTGTGGTTGGGCTCTATGCTCAGCGCAGAGTCTGCTTCAGATTCTCTCTCATCCTTTCCCTCCTGCTCACATTCTCTCTCTCTCAAATAAATAAAAATCTTAAAAAAAGAATGCATATTGATTAGGAATTTTTTTACCCTTTGTTTCAATTTTCAAAATCTGGTTGTAAAACATATTTCAGTGTTTGTGTTAAAAAAAAAAAAAACCTAGGATTTTAGGGGCGCCTGGGTGGCTTAGTCAGTTAAGCGTCTGCCTTTGGCTCAGGTCATGATCCCACGGTCCTGGGATCATGCTCTCTCTCTCTCACTCAAATAAATAAATAAAATCTTTTTTAAAAATCTAGGATTTTAAAGATTTTCTCTCAGAGAATTGTATTAACACAACAGTTCTACTTGCTCTCAAGTAGTCAGTAAGGTTAGTAATATGAGCTCTGGAAGGACTTCTTTTATATCATGAAGTCAATCTGTTTCATTTTTCTACCACCACATCATTTTCACCTAAATCATAACCTTCTTCCCAGAATTTATAAGATTAGTTCACTTCCTTTAAGAATGCATTTTAAACCACTTGTGGTGGGGATTAAAATAATTGCAACAAATAAATTATGATCTACTTCAAAAAAAAAAGAAAGAAAGAAAGAAAAGAAACCAAAGCAACTGACCCACTCAGAAGGACACAATGTATAAAAATTTTTAAGTGCTGTATTCTGTATTATCTATTGTATGTACATGGTCATTTATTAGAGTGCTTTACCAGAATGTTCTCCTGGGAGCTAGTGTTGAAACAGAATAAAAGCATGCCATATTTTTCTCTTGTTTCTGCCTTTTGTCTAAGGCAATGAACATCGAATTAGTAAGGGTAGTGAATCATTTTATTCATTAAAATGTGGAAAATAGAAAGTTATTAGGCAGTTTGATGATCTCTGGGTGAAATGAGTTTGTGCAGAAAGGTGAGATAGAGAATGAGTCAATTTAATTAGAAAAAAAAACTTGATAATTTGTGAATACTCCAAATATTGAAACAAAGCAAACAACAAATCATGAGAAGTGTAATTTATAGCTATCAAATACCAATAGAGGTTACCATGTTTGTGCCATAAAAAAAAATCTACAGTTGTCACAACGTGCTCATTGGACCGTTCTGCATGAGGATGCAAATATCAGCGAATTTTTTGGCTTCCTACTCTTGTCCACTCTTAGAACAAAAAAACACATTCTTGGGAAATAAGCATTTGGGTAACACATTGCCGACAGGCAGATCGAGATGTCTGAAGGCTGCCTTGTGAACAAGTGCTCGTACCCCATGAGATATCGCTTGTGCTCTTCCTGGGGCAACCAGTTCAAAAGGTGGTTTTTCTTTGCAGGTTACCAGCCAGTCTTGTCTGGCCAACAGGGGTTCCAAGGCCTCATAGGAGTGCAGCAGCCGCCCCAGAGTCAGAGCGTGATGAGCAACCAGCCAGGAGCTCCGGTGCAAAGCGTGATGGTCTCCTACCCAACAATGTCTTCTTATCAGGTGCACATTAGCAGCTTGGAAAATTGTGGTTTAGAAAGTAGCACTGGCCAAAGTAGAGGCTGTGGGTATGTCCCGTGTTGGGTGGTTAGCAGGGTGGTAGGTGCTATGCCCAGCCCCTGTTGATGGTTGACTTTGAATTAAGATTATAAGTAGAAAATGGGACAGGTGTGCTTCTCTAACTACTGTGGTTTTTGAATGTCCTGCTAAATGTGGTTCTATATAAACTTCTATTCATGGAAGAAAAGTCTGCAGCCTATAACGTTTTAGTCATGAAGACCTTTGGCTGTTCCATTGTAATTTGGCTTATTGGGAAAAAACCCTCATGACAAATTTCCACTCATTTTTGTACACAGCCCCCCAAATTTCATTTTACCACAGTTTCAAGTTAAAAGAGGTGTTCAAATGGCATCTCAGATTTTTCAAAGGGCATGGATAAGGTCTATACCAACCTCATTTTCTAGACTCAACCCATACTGGGTATTTTAAAAATGTCATGCATCCTTTTGTGATTTATATCCTGAGATAGCCTGAAAGTGGAAGTGAAGGGTTAGTGAAATGCTTTGACTGTTAAATTTAGCTGCACTAGCTACTTCTGGCCCTCAAACAAAGAAACAAACAAAACAAAACAAAATAAAAACCCTGTCCTCCGTCCTCCTCCTCTGAGAATCCTGACTCACACTGTCTCAGTTTAACCTCTGGCTCCACATTAGATGTTTTTTAAAGCTGCAGGTTGAGAGTGAGGCAGGTGCCTGGGACAAAACCCCTTTTGCTGTCTGGCTCCAGGCCAGTTTGTGTGTGTGAAACCAGCATGGGAGTGTCGCTTTCCAAACAGAAATTCTAGGCGAGTAATCCAAACTGCAGCCTCCAGTGGGTAAGGAGGGAGGAAAGAAGGAAGTTCTGAGCTAACTCCTTCTGAGCCATCACCACACATGTCCCAGCACCGCACATCAGCCTTACAATCTTCTCAGTGGCACTTTGCATGGGTGTCACTATGCAGATGGCCAAGGCAATCAGAGAGGTTGAGGGACGTACCCAAGGTAAAACGGCTGATAAGAGGTAGCACTGGGATGGGTGACCAGTTAGGTCTCACCCAAACGCTTGAGTATTTTTCCTGACCTCACAGTAGTTCATGGGACGGGCAAACTCAACCTCTTCATGAAGGGCTCTCTCTTGTGTCTTCTACAGGTGCCAATGACCCAGGGTTCTCAAGGACTGCCCCAGCAGTCATACCAACAGCCAATCATGCTACCTAACCAGGCAGGTCAAGGGTCACTCCCAGCCACTGGAATGCCTGTTTACTGTAATATCACACCGCCGACGCCTCAGAACAACCTTAGGCTGATCGGTCCACACTGCCCCTCCAGCACTGTCCCTGTGATGTCGGCTAGCTGCAGGACAAACTGTGCAACTATGAGCAACACCGGGTGGCAGGTCAAATTCTGAGTGCTCTGGCTGTGCTACATGTTTGTGATCTTACTCATGGCCTTTAAGGGAAGAGGAGCAAGGTGGGAGACTGGCTGAGGACTCAAGCATTCACTCAACACTCAAATGATTGCTGCTGGTATTCTGTAAAAAAACAAACAGAAAAACAAACAAAAAAAAAAAAACAAAGACTAATACACACATTAGCTGTTTAATGGTGCATATTTCTGTCATGTCTGCTAGGTATGCCTTTAGCTTAGCTAGTGACATGAATTCATCAAGGTAAGATTTTCTCCTACCACTGAATACCACTGTGTAGATTGTAATATCCCTAATTTGGATTATTAGTTTTGTACTTTGTGTTGAGTTTGTGATGCTAAAAGTATTTAAAAATGATATACTGAAATCACATTGTACCAAAGCTGTAATGGAAAAGAAAAGAATTGAAGAATGGAAGGAATAATTTATATACACTATAGAGTTTTCTTTTTTAATGGATATATACTGTATTGTAGTGTTTAATCAAAATAAAACTATTTGACCTTATGGAGGAAGGTCATGTTTTTACCACCAGTTTGGTTCACTCTCTCTTCCAATATGTGTTTGCTTATGTGTCACTGTTATCCCCTTTGAACACTATTTCATGAGTAATGCCCAGTAAAGATGTTCCAGATATTTGTAAATCTGGCATCACGTTGGGAGAGGTGGTAGGCAAACAATTAACCAACTGTAGTTTCTTGTCCTAATAATGCAGGGGTCCTGGGAATAAGATGGCTTCCATTTCCAACATTCATCGACTTCGCATTTTTGAAATGTATATCTTGATTTTAGCTCTAGGGGTATTGAATACATGTAGCTCAGAAATTCGGGAAGTCAGAAAACCTGAGAGACTTATAATAGCAGCCCTACACCAAACTCTGTTCTGTCTTCTTTGAAGTTCCACCATCTACCTGAAAAACAAGATTTCTTCATTTAGTGGGAAATTGGAAGGGCATGATCTAATTCTATCGAATATATTGGGTCATACAATGTAAATAAAGTGCCACTAGTTTTGGGTCAATAACTCAAAGGTGCTAACGTTTATCCTGGCAACTGAAAGGAAGGTAAAATATAACAACAATTTAGTCACAAAGACTTAGAACATTGGGAAAAAAAAGAAACATTTAGAAGAAGCCGATCCTGTGTAATCCTAAAATGTATATCTAATCCCCTGTAGATTCTGCAGGTAAGATTGTTTTATGACAACCTTTGAAAAATAATAACAGAACTCCAAACATCAGCTTTGGCCATTCTGGGAGGTACTTAATGGGGGAATATAACCCTACAGCTTCCCCTTTGCTATCACAGTACAATGACTAATAGTTTTCTCTTTTATACTCTCTGTCTAAAAACCATTATTACCAATGAGAGGGGTTTGGAGAGTATATCTGGATAATTCCCACTGTTCTTCCTATTATCACTTTCCCCCATATTAGATCTTTCCATTTTCATGTTGCTTAGTTGGAGATAGCATGAAGCTACTAGTTAAAAACTCTACCTAGGATTACCATTTCTTAAGTTTATACTCTCATTTTCTTTTTCTTTTAAAAGGGAACTTTTACACACATTCTCATTAGCTTCATTCCCTGGGACATCTGTCCCATTGCCCCAAATCTCAGTCTCCTGAATTCTTCATTGTAAATAAGCCCTACCCATGAAAGAGATGTTATAAAAAGAGAACGTTGCATTTTTTTTTTTTTTATTGAGCCATTAAACCAACAGGCTGAGTAGCTACTAAATCAATAGCTGCTCTGAGAAGGAGCAATGTGTTTGCCTAATTAATACCTTCCCCTAATGGAAGGAGGGGGCTGACCAATAGAGATCACTTTAGAAATATAGCCTCCATTTAGCTCTGTCATATTGGCAGTGATCCCAAATGCAGGGATCCAAATATGAGTCTGAATGTTTATCTTCTTTTCACAGAATTCTGAGAACTTTTTATCTTTTCTTTAATGATTTCTAGCATGACTCAGCCCTCTTTATCTGAAACATTAATCACGGTTGTGGAAAAGACAGGCCTTCTCTGTCTTTGGCCCCCCCTCCTGCAAACGTGCTCTTTCCCACTGAGACATTTGACTTTTCCTGCATAAAGCAATTTGGATACTGTTTCAGGCTGAGCCTTGTCTACTTTCACTAAATATTGATACCCAACATTATTTATTCCAGATCTTACATTATGCTGTCTTTTACATTAGAATATTTGAGATGGCTGTGTAGAGAGATGGCTTTATCAGTGAAGAATTTCCAGGATTTAATTTATCATCAGAACATTCCTATTTTTTCATGTTGGCTAATAATTTTATCACAATCACATTTTGTAATTACATATTATTCAGTACATAAGCTTATAGAGAGACATGGATACATATATATGTAACTATATAGATACAGTCATCCCTAATGATCCTCTCTGTGAGCGTAAATGAGAACAAGAGTGACTTATGCATTCATTTATTCAGCAAACTTTTATTGCATACTTGATTATATCCTAATTATGTGGCACCATTCCAAATGAGTACAAATAAATTTAAAGCACTTAGACTTATTTTTGTAAGTTTTATCATACACTGTTATTCTGCGATAGTTGGAACTAAATGTTCTAACCAGGATGCCAATGAATGTCAGCCATAATTATTTTATTGTTTTAATATAGTTTCACAGGATGTGGGTGGGATAGGAGAGAATGTTATGTAACATTATGGAAGTGGAGTTATGTAATTAATTAGAAGTATGGTTGGAGGATTTAAAATAAAGTTATAAATCATCATAACAAAAATAAGTAGGGTACACATGAGCCAGAGCAGCTTTGTAAGAGAGATTCGAAGTACAAAGCAAAAACAATAAGGGAAGGAAGAACATTGCAGCAGAAATGGCTTTGAGGTCTAACAAATGCACTTTCAGTCTCCCTTTCCACTCTGGCCAACAGCTAGAGTGTGGTGGGATGTTTTCAACCCCCATGGTCTGCTACCTGTATTCTGTGCACACAGGTCCGCACTGTTCACTGCAGGCCCACCCCTTACCTCTAACCTGGCACTCGTCATCGCAGGTGACTTGATCACTTACAGACCAGAAAGAAAGCATTATAAATATCTCACCCTAAGGGCAGAGTTAAAACAAATAACTTGGGTTTTGTTCACAAGTAAAACCTTGAAGAGTAGTTTCTAAAACATTTTCCGTGGTAGACCCTTTCCTTGGGATACAGATAGTTATTATCTGAAATAGACTGTTCCAAGGATAATAATGGTTGGGAAACAAGGTTAATGAAAGTTAAGCAATCTTTGTAAAGATTCTGATTTCTGGAAACCTTTAACATAGCACTTTAGATTACGAGTTTCTAAGCGGGTGGCATAATTTGCAGTTTCTCAAACTTAGTCGAGCACAATATCTTTTCTTCACAGACTGTATCAAAAGATTAATATTATGAGGAACCTTTATTTTAAAACATTACGTTAGAGACTCCTAAAAAAATACAAATATAGTTCTTTTATCTGCATAGAAACTACGTTATATATCAACATGTAATATCACAACCCTCCTTCCAACTATGACATCTTTTGGTAACTACCCTAGTGTGTACACTTTCCTCCATGAGTGTGTGAGTCTGGAAGCTAATGCCATATCACCAATATTTCTGGGCTTTCTTTTTTTAAATTCTTAATGTTGGAAGAATTTATATCTAAAATTATTATAGGGACGCCTGGGTGGCTCAGTCGGTTAAGCGTCTGCCTTCAGCTCAGGTCATGATCCCAGGGTCCTGAGATCGAGTGCCGCATCAGGCTCCTTGCTTGGCAGAGAGCCTGCTTCTCCTTCTACCTGCTTTGCCTGCCACTCCCCCTGCTTGTGCTCTCTTTCTCTGACAAAAAAAATAAGTAAAATCTTTAAAAAAATAAAATTATTAAAGTAATAGTCATATAGATATATAGATGAAGTTATCTCTAATGATCCTGCACACCTCCCTATGAGTATAAAAGAGAACAAGAGTGATTTATGCATTTTTTTTTTATTCAACCACCTTTTACTGTGTATTCACTAATTTCCATACTTCGTGCCAGTCTCTGGAGCCCCTGCCTTTATGAAGTTTATAAGTTTTCAGAATAAATTATACCAGTGTACAAATGACTAAAACTATAGGAAATTAGTCACAGGCCTCATATGAAAAACACATGTAAAAACAAGATTTTAGAGAAGGAGTAGATGGCTCCTGGCTGTGGTTTTATGAGGCTTTTGGCCTGGGCCATGCTGGTTAGATGGAATTTGGGCATGCAGACATGAGGTGAGTGAGTCACAACCCCAACCGAGAGAAACGCATGAAAACAAAAGAAACCCAGGAACCCCTGGACATTCCCATTCAGGTTCGTTGAAGTGGGAGGTAGCTAGATAGAGGAAGATGACAGGAGGAGTACTTCGAGGTTCACGGTTGGCAGGACCTCGACAGCCAGGCAGCGTTAACAGGCCCCCAGGGACTTCTGAAGAGTTTTGAATCAAAGGTGATACAATCCAGCCATGGTTCCTAAAGAAGCATGGGCCTTGAAAAGTAGGACGGGTTAGACTTGAAAAGGCTCTTCATTCAGAAAGTGGAGATGAACGCAATTATAGTTAAGGGTTGTCATTGAGCTACTGGGACCAGCAGCCTAGTTGGGAGAAGTCAGAAATGAATCCTGGCTCTCAACCCTTAGCAATTGTGTTGCATGCACAGCCAAGTTTTATAGTGGTATAGGTCTTGTTTTTCCCTCTTGGATGGAAATGTGTGCATGTAAGTGCCTGTCAAGTTGCATCACATGGCACAGTTACTATACCCTGTCCGGGTGAAAGAAATGAAGTCTGAGTTGAGATTGGAGACAGCATGGGGAAGGTTGCTAAGTATTCAGTATCTGTACGAGATACACGGTGAAATCTGATATCAGCTTCTTATACCCCCTTGTTTCAATACATGGTGAGAACCCTTTTCCATTAGAGCTCAAAAAAGGGGGTTTTCGGGGCACCTGGGTGGCTCAGTTGGTTAGGCATCTGCCTTCATTCAGCTCAAGTCATGATCCCAGAGTCCTGGGATCGAGCCCTGCATGGAGGGGGGTCCTCTGCATAGTGGGGAGCCTGCTTCTCCCTCTCCCTCTGCCTGCCGCTCTGCCTACTTGTGTACTCTCTCTCTCTGTCAAATAAATAAATAAAAAATCTTTTAAAAAATGTGTTTTCTGTACTCTTATGGGTGACACTTCTTCTACATAAGACCAGACATTTTCGCTTCCTTCCATATTATTTTACCCCAAACTCTCTTTTCTAAGGAAGTTGTTCTCATTAGGGCTTTGAGATTATTTTCCAATAGTTCTCAGCTTTAGTGCTCGTTTCAAGTTCAAATCTTTATCATCCACTTTCTGAGGAGTTTTGCAGCCTCCAATCTTCACTACAGAAAGATTTGCCACTATTATACGCCACCAGGTGCACGAGCAGCTCACCCTGATCTTGTTCTCTGCTGCTTCAGCATTGCGGACACAGTGGGGGTGGCAGACATCTGATACTCTTCTGTGGAGGAAAATCAT